GTGAGGCGGGGGGGCGACAGGGGCGGCAGGGGCGACAGGGGCGGCAGGGACTGACAGGTGAGGCGGGGGGGGGACGACAGGGGCGGCAGGGGGCGACAGGGGCGGCAGGGACTGACAGGTGAGGCGGGGGAGACAGGTGACACAAAGTTTTTCTGAGGTGACATTATTTCAAAACTGTGGTCCCACCTCAGAGTGTTTAGAAGATCAAGTCTGTTTGGTTTTTTAGATATAAAATAATAATAATAAAAAACATAATATAAATTTTAAAAAAATAAACCAAAACATAAACAAAATAAAAAAAGAAACATAATAAAATAAAATATAAAAAGAACATAAAATAAAACACAAAACATAAATAAAAAAATAAAAAAAAATAAAAAACGTAAATAAAATGAAAATGGAAACATAATAAAATAAAACACAAAACATAAAAAAAAAACTATATAAAAAAAATATAATAAAAAACATAAATAAAGTAAAATTAAAATAAAATAAAAAACAGATAAAATAAAAAATGAAACATAAAAAATTAAATAAAAAACACAAATAAAATAAAAGCTAAACATAAACAAAATAAAATAAACATAAAAATGAAACAAATAAAATAAAATTTAAAAAACATAAATAAAATCTAATTAAAATAAAAAAAAAACATTAATAAAATAAAAAATAAGACATAAATTTAAAAAAACAAAAAAAAACATACATAAATTAAAATAAAATCAAATAAAAAATATAAATAAAATAAAGAGTCATGTTTTCTTGGTCTCACTCAGAGCTGCAGTCGTGTTTTGTTTCCTTCACATGTTTAACTCACAAACCTGCACATTTAACACCAGCTCTTATCTAAAAAAAAAGAAAACATTCTCTGTTCCACCGTGTGATGTCATCATGTGGTGATACAGGAAGTGCTCCACTGTGTTTTTAAACTCCACACACTTTCACTAGAATCACCTGGATCATTTTTTTCAGTCCCATTTCTACTGAACTAAAGAGAAAAGGAGCTGTTCACTGATGACATCACAAGGTGGAACAGAGTGTTTGGAGCTTTGCAGATGTAAACACATGTTCTTCTCTCCTCACAAAGTTTCCTGCAGTTGGGTTTTGTTCCATTTGTTTCATTTTTTGCTTGATTTTGTTTCCAATCTCGTTTGAACTTTAGTTGAGTCGAGTTTGGAAATTCCAGAGAAAAAATGATCCAAATGAAACAAAAAGTGAAACAACTCCAGCTCTGTTTTTTTTTTTTTTTTTTTTTGAGGAGGAAACGACAGCAGAACACGACTTAAATCTCCGAGTGAGTTTGTGTGACTGAGGAGTTTTAAAGCCTGAGCGCCTCTGTGTCTTTAAACGCCTCATTTCCCTTCACACGTCCTTGAGCCGCACAAAAACACCCGACACAATCAACCTGAGGCCGAGAAAAACACACAGACAAACACACAGACAGACAAACCTGTTGAACTGTACGTTTCACTGGGACCTTATAGAAGCAGCTCAACACGGACACACACACACACACACACACACACACAGTGTGTGTGTGTGTCTGTGTGTGTGTGTATGTGTGTGTGTGTGTGTGTGTGTGTGTCTGTGTGTGTGTGTGTGTGTGTGTGTGTGTGTGTGTGTTGTGTCGTGTGTGTGTGTGTGTGTGTGTGTGTGTGTGTGTGTGTGTGTGTGTGTGTGTGTGTGTGTGTGTGTGTGTGTGTGTGTGTGTGTGTGTGTGTGTGTGTGTGTGTGTGTGTGTGTGTGTGTGTGTGTCTGTGTGTGTGTGTGTGTGTGTGTGTGTGTGTGTGTGTGTGTGTGTGTGTCTGTGTGTCTGTGTGTGTGTGTCTGTGTGTGTGTGTGTGTGTGTGTGTGTGTGTGTGTGTGTGTGTGTGTGTGTCTGTGTGTGTGTGTGTGTGTGTCTGTGTGTGTGTGTGTGTGTGTGTGTGTGTGTGTGTGTGTGTGTGTGTGTGTGTGTGTGTGTCTGTGTGTGTGTGTGTGTGTGTGTGTGTCTGTGTGTGTGTGTGTGTGTGTGTGTGTGTGTGTGTGTGTGTGTGTGTGTGTGTGTGTCTGTGTGTGTGTGTGTGTGTGTGTGTGTGTGTGTGTTGTATGTGTGTGTCTGTGTGTGTGTCTGTGTGTGTGTGTGTGTCTGTGTGTGTGTGTCTGTGTGTCTGTGTGTGTGTGTGTGTGTGTGTGTGTGTGTGTGTGTGTGTGTCTGTGTGTGTGTGTGTGTGTGTGTGTGTCTGTGTGTGTGTGTGTGTGTGTGTGTGTGTGTGTGTGTGTGTCTGTGTGTCTGTGTGTGTGTGTGTGTGTGTGTGTGTGTGTGTGTGTGTGTCTGTTGTGTGTGTGTGTGTGGGTGTGGTGTGTGTGTGGTGTGTGTGTGTGTGTGTGTGTGTGTGTGTATGTGTGTGTGTGTGTGTGTGTCTGTGTGTGTGTGTGTGTGTGTGTGTCTGTGTGTGTGTGTGTGTGTGTGTGTGTGTGTGTGTGTGTGTGTGTGTGTGTGTGTGTGTGTGTGTGTGTGTGTGTGTGTGTGTGTGTGTGTGTGTGTGTGTGTGTGTGTGTGTGTGTGTGTGTGTCTGTGTGTGTGTGTGTGTGTCTGTGTGTGTGTGTGTGTGTGTCTGTGTGTCTGTGTGTGTGTGTGTGTGTGTGTGTGTCTGTGTGTGTGTGTGTGTGTGTGTGTGTGTGTGTGTGTCTGTGTGTGTGTGTCTGTGTGTGTGTGTGTGTCTGTGTGTGTGTGTGTGTGTCTGTGTGTGTGTGTGTGTGTGTGTGTGTGTGTGTGTGTCTGTGTGTGTGTGTGTGTGTGTGTGTGTGTGTGTGTGTGTGTGTGTGTGTGTCCGTGTTGAGCTGCTTCTATAAGGTCCCAGTGAAATGTACAGTTCAACAGGTTTATATTTATCTTCTGTTCTGGTCTCAGCAAACAGCACACAGAACACAACCTGCCCACAAGACACACACCTGCCCACACACACACCTGCCACACACACACACCTGCCCCACACACACACCTGCCCACACACACACACCTGCCCCCCCACACACACACCTGCCCCAAGACACACACACACACACCTGCCCCGGGACACACACCTGCCCCAACACACACACCTGCCCCACAGACACACACCTGCCCCCAAGACACACACCTGCCCCAAGACACACACCTGCCCCACACACACACCTGCCCCAAGACACACACACACACACCTGCCCCACACACACACCTGCCCACACACACCTGCACACACACACACACACACCTGCCCACACACACACACCTCCCACACACACACACCTGCACCCACACCACACACACCTGCCCCACACAGACACACACCTGCCCACACACACACACACACACCTGCCCCAAGACACACACCTGCCCCACACACACACACCTGACCACCCCAAGACACACACCTGCCCCACACACACACCTGCCCCAAGACACACACCTGCCACCACACACACACAACCTGCCCCAAGACACACACCTGCCCCCACACACACCTGCCCCAGACACACACCTGCCCCAAGACACACACCTGCACACACACACACACCTGCCACACACACACCTGCCCCCAAGACACACACCTGCCCCACACACACACCTGCCCCAAGACACACACCTGCCCCCAAGACACACACCTGCCCACAGACACACACCTGCCCCAGACACACACCTGCACCACACCTGCCCCACACACACACCTGCCCCCCCCAGGACACACACCTGCCCCACACACACTGCCCCAAGACACACACCTGCCCCACACACACACTGCCCCACACACACACCTGCCCCAAGACACACACACCTGCCCACACACACCTGCCCCGGGACACACACCTGCCCCGGGACACACACACCTGCCCCAAGACACACACCTGCCCCAAGACACACACCTGCCCCAGGACACACACCTGCCCCCCACAGACACACACCTGCCCCAAGACACACACCTGCCCACACACACACACCTGCCCCGGGACACACACCTGCCCCGGGACACACACACACCTGCCCCGGGACACACACCTGCCCCAAGACACACACGGGACACACACCTGCCCCGGGACACACACCTGCCCCGGGACACACACCTGCCCCAAGACACACCACCTGCCCCGGGACACACACCTGCCCCGGGACACACACCTGCCCCGGCACAGACACACACCTGCCCCGGGACACACACCTGCCCCGGGACACACACCTGCCCCGGGACACACACCTGCCCCGGGACACACACCTGCCCCGGGACACACTGTACTCACACAAACGCACAAATACAACAAAACATGTTCTCTGTGTGTTCTGACGGAACACGAGCCTAAACTCATCTACAGTGTGTGTGTACAGTGTGTGTGTACAGTGTGTGTGTACAGTGTGTGTGTGTGTGTGTGCAGTGTGTGTGTGTACAGTGTGTGTGTGTGTGTGACAGTGTGTGTGTGTACAGTGTGTGTGTACAGTGTGTGTGTGTGTGGGCAGTGTGTGTGTGTGTGGACAGTGTGTGTGTGTGCAGTGTGTGTGTGTGGGGCAGTGTGTGTGTGTGTCTGGGGCAGTGTGTGTGTGTCTGGGGCAGTGTGTGTGTGTGTGTGTGTGGGGCAGTGTGTGTGTGTGGGGCAGTGTGTGTGTGTCTGGGGCAGTGTGTGTGTGTGTCTGGGGCAGTGTGTGTGTGGGGCAGTGTGTGTGTGTGTGGGGCAGTGTGTGTGTGTGGGGCAGTGTGTGTGTGTCTGGGGCAGTGTGTGTGTGTGTGTGTGTGGGGCAGTGTGTGTGTGTCTGGGGCAGTGTGTGTGTGTCTGGGGCAGTGTGTGTGTGTGTCTGGGGCAGTGTGTGTGTGTGGGGCAGTGTGTGTGTGTGGGGCAGTGTGTGTGTGTCTGGGGGCAGTGTGTGTGCAGTGTGTGTGTGTCTGGGCAGTGTGTGTGTGTCTGGGGCAGTGTGTGTGTGTCTGGGGCAGTGTGTGTGTGTCTGGGTGTGTGTGTGTCTGGGCAGTGTGTGTGTGGGCAGTGTGTGTGTG